GTTCAATGAATGCAAATTGAGGATGCAGGGTTCTACAGAAACTAGATCCTCAGACAGCTGATGACAAACATCCTTATTAAATGGAGATAAACCTGATTGTTTACATTTGTATTTACTTGTTTCTATAAATATCTATAAACAATTGTATTGTGTACTTTAGGAATCCTGTGATAGTTGCACAGTGTGTTTGACAATGTTATCTGAGATCTGAGGTGGAAGTATCACTGGGTGAGCAACATGAACCAGGTAAATTCTCAGGAGTGGTGTAGAACAGCAGAGTGCCTGATTCCCAAGAGAGTTTGTTATATATATCATAATGTAGTAAGTCCTTTGATATCTCTCTTCATCCAAGAAAGAGTACCACGTGGTCCAGCATACAAATGGTCAGATCCAAATTCAAAGAATTTCTCAAAGCCTGTTCCTCCATCTTTGTAATTCAAAGCAGGAATAAAATAATCTAGTCAATGTTTAAGAAACTTAGCCCACAATGAGTTTCAAGCAGTCTTAGTCACTGCATTAGTATAGGTAGTCTTCATACATTCCTTTGAATATACTTACGATACTACTTATCTATTACTAGAATCAACACTAGGCTGTTGTTGTTGGGGTTTTTTTAAAGTTTGGGGTTTTTTTAAACAAAAATATAGAAGTGAACTGCTTGCACAAACATTTACTTGCCACTTGTTCTTGCAAGAAGGGTGCAGTTTAGGCTGTTAACGGAGTATCAAGTATATACACTGAAAGATCTTGCATGCAAAGAACAGTGTAAGTGCACCCCTAACCTCTCCACACACCGTAATAATTTGTTTTCAAATGGATCAAAGACTGACTGAGAGCAATGGAAAAAAAAACCTCATAAACTTTTATGGGTTTTGAAGCAGTTGAGCAATGCCACAATTCCCATATGTTTTTCTGGAAACACACTTAGCGCAAGTGTCATTGACAACTGGGAACTTTAAACACTATTTCCGCTCTTCAGAAATACTGAAAGACATTTGTCCTACATCTGTTAAAATACAGATCTTTAAAGAACTTACCATAAATATTTACAGATTCCTACTGTGTCGTTAGCGTATTTATCTGAGCTGCATATTAAACAACAGGGTATTTAAAATGTTAAGTTTGCTTCTGATAAAGGAAATACTAATGAACTGGGAAGCTGCTATATAACCCAGCATAAGATTATCTTAATAAATGTAACAGGATACACAGATATTCAAGACCTTGCAAAACACTCCATCCAATGTTAATTCTCAAAAGAAAGTACTTCATGAGGAGACTTTTCCTCACTGAAAGAAAAGTAGTATAGACCATAAAGAATCTTTGCATATCGCACAAAGGTATTCTTAACATGAATCACCTCCTCTAGTATGTGACTCGCATACCAAGACAGGCAGATTTTCATAGGCCCAGTGCTGGTCAAGCCCTTGCTGAAGTTGGTGTACAGTTCTTCCAAATCTGGAGCTACAAAAATTTCCTCATTTATCTCACAATTATAGCTGCAGTATATGTACTGTACCAATTTGCTGGATTGGAATAACACAGTCAGCTCTAAGACAGTATCATTTAAATATTAACTGCAATATTTTTGGAATGGATTACATATTCCTATTTTGGCAAAAATGGATTTTTACAGCTCATCACATTAGTGCCTTTAAAAGTAGAAAGATATCAAATTACACATTATACTAATCAACTTCCAGTAAGCATAAGTCATACTGCAAAAAACATTGCAATAATTATTTGTGTGTACTAAAGAGATGTTACCAATTTAAAGATTAGAGGTTTTGTTAAAAAGGTTCAAGAAATTATTTTATAAATGCATATTTTGTACATAAATTTTTCTTGTGTTCTCATTCACAGTATAACAGAAGTGTTATGCAGTATCAGAAAGTGAAACCAAAGAGAAACAGTGCAACTGCCCAGAACTGCTCTCCTCTTCAGGAAAGGAAGCAAAGGCATGGTGGAAGCAGAGGCCTGGGTTCCTTCATTCTTTCAGCTTTCATCACCCTCCAATGGTTTCATTAGACAGGCAAAGACATTTTACAAGATGAATCAGAGTCACACAGCTGGTTTCTCAGCTCCTCCT